ATGTGCGTATGAAAACAAAGGCACGTTTTACTCATATTCTATCGCGATATTTCCTTTTCTTATCATTGCCTGACATTATACCGGTATTACCGTGAACGGTATGATATGGCCCAGCCCTAAGTAGAGCTAACATTTGTGGACTCGGACACTTGGCGAATAAACTTTAATACAATGTGATGTGTGATTTTTATAGTAGACTCGACCGTAACCTGGCATGATGTTAGTGTCTAATGTCTAATCTGCTGATAATAAGGAATTGCGCCAATATCGGGAATAATCAAGAGTGTTTATGCTAGTTTTCATGTGTTTGTGAGTCCTGACTTCCTTTGTCTTCTCACTTTTTTGGTAAAGGCGACACCTGCTCAGGTGAAAAAACAGACATTATTCTTGAGTCACAAGCCATGAATGACACAAAGCTTCCACAACCAGCGCTTGTTCCTGTGGATTTTCATAATTTTAAGTTTTGGATCAGTTCCAGCGTCAATTTGTTGGAAGACTTAATTTCACACAAATCAATGTATGTTTATGAGTAATTATTTTTCCTATTAAATAACCTAAAAAACCAACAACTGACTGTACCTTTAAATCAATAAGGAAAAAGTGTGATGCCTCAAGGTAGTCGTTTACCCAGAATGCATTTCTGTTTCAGTCCAATTAAATATTTAGATTGTTTTGGACCCTTTGAAATCCAAATGCAGCACTTACTTATAGAGCATTCCTAATGTGTGTTTAACCAAACAGTAATGGCTGTCTCTTTGTGCAGGAGTGTACAGGGAGCTGTGTCTGCAGGTCATCAAACACAAGCATGAATGTGAAGTGCAAGGAGCGAGGCAGCACCTGGAGGTAGCGCGCACGTGCACTCTCAACCGCATTCTGCTTTCCTACTGGAGACTTAATATTCTCAACTAAAAGAGAACTAACGCACTTGTTTGTATTTACACGTGTTTTACAGAGTGAGCGAACACTGCTGTTTGACGCCATGAAGGGCGAACTACTGGAAAAGATAAGGAGGCTGGAGGAGGACAGGCAGAATATAGACCTCACCTCAGGTACGTGTCAATCGCAAAGCTGTTACGTACACATAAAGTACGCAAAGGTTATAAAACTGAAGTACTGAGTAAAAGTGTGTGCTCATACTAGTGGTTAGTGAGCACATACAAATGTGCAACCTTTTATGCAAATGCACTAACAGTGAAATAAACTTGCATCTGAAGGAGTAAGCTGTGGTTTATGACGCTGTAAATTCATTTTAGTGGAGTTGTATAAGGTGGATTCTGTCTGTCCAGAGTGGAGCGATGAGCTGAGGGGCAAGAAGTGCAAACGAAAGAACCTGCTGGGTCGATCTGAGAAGAAAAAGAAAGTAGCTTTGGTTTCAGGTAAGCACCACGTGTGAGGAGCCTCACCAGGGCTGATGTGTACATATACAGATGAGGAGATGAGCTCCTGTCTTATTGTTTTAAGTGCTGCTAAACAGAGAAATATGGGGTTTTTTTTAACAGTTTTCTATAGCTAGTTTTTACCCAGATTTACTTTTCACATAGAAATTTCACAAGAACTATTTTTACTTTATTATTATCTGTTTGTTGTTGTGCTGGAAGCCAAAGCAAAGACTCCGTTTTGCTGCGGACTGCTTGAGGTTTTGCTTTCTTCGTGATTCCTTCCACTTTGATGAGATTCCCAGTTCCAGACACAGAAGCATTCCCACAGCATAATACTTCCACCACCATGCTTCACTGTGGGGACGGGGTTCTTTGGGTTGTACTTCCTGTTTCCTCCAAACTCTTTTTAAATTTCTTGATGACACTTCTCACTCGAGCTCGTGATCCTTGGAAACACTCTGATGATTTTAAAACTCCTGCATCGTGAGCCTCAACAATCCTTTTTCTCAAGTCCAGATTGATTTCTTAAGTTTTTGCCATAACGCTTTCTCAAGTGCAGACATTTTTATATGGTGTGTAAACTGGAAGTTAACCCTTTATTACACAATTAAAACATATCGTCGCAGAGCAGTGGTCTGTGCTATAGCTTGATGAAAAGCTCATTTACTTGCAAGCCATTTTTGTCAGATATTTCCATCCTACAGAAGGCAAGAACACAACAACTACGATCAAAAGGCTGAATCATAGTTATTATTATTGGTTATATATCATTTTATATATTGTTTTTAAATTAAGCTTAGATTCAATTAGTTTCCAGAGTGTGTTTTCTTGTTTCTGTTTAGTTTTCAGTCTCAGTTTTTGTCTTTATTAATTATTATTAACAAAGTTTAAATGAATGAGGCATTGCAGCACTGATCTCAGTACAGTTGTCTTGAAGGTTGTAAACATATATATACTTCAACATGGGAGTTCCTGGAGATTGACTCACTTTTAGAGCGG